GAATGAATGAGCTGCTCCAATGAGGTGACCCATATCCAACTCTTAAATGTTTGATCTTTTAATTAGCTGGAAAGCCAGTTTTGAAGACGTGTGGAATGTACTGCAAGTCCACTGGTTACACAACAAGCTTTATTAATAAAGTATAAAATATTATTCACAAATGAATATAGGAAAGACAAACTTGAGTTGAAGGCAATTATAAGAATTCAAGAGTCATAAAGTTGAATCAAAGTTGTTTTATTACTTAAAAATGAATATTGAAGGACTTAACCCAGACAAAGGTATTGCCATTTGAGTTGCCTGTGGAGTGTGCACCAGTCTGTTGACAGGCTCAAATTGTGTTTTCAGTCTGTCATGTTCATCACCCAGTCAGAATGCAACAAAGACTCCCCTTAAATGGATAAACCCACAGTACCAGAAGAGGAAATGGGCAGTTGTGGCAGACCATCCATAAGACCATAAGACATAGGAGCAGAAATTAGGCCATTTATCCCATCGAGTCTGCTCTGCCATTCAATCATGGCTGATAAGTGCCTCAACCCCATTCTCCCGCTTTTTCCCCGTAACACTTGATCCCCTTGATAATCAAGAACCTATCTATCTCAGTCTTAAATGTACTCAATGACCTGGCCTCCACAGCCTTCTGTGGCAACGAATTCCATAGATTCACCACTCTGGCTGAAGAAGTTTCTCCTTATCTCCATTCTAAAAGGTCTTCCCTTCACTCTCTAAGGCTGTGCCCTCAGGTCCTAGTCTGTCTTGCCAATAGAAACATTTTCCCAACATCCACTCTGTACAGGCCATTCAGTATTCTGTAAGTTTCAATTAGATTCCCCCTTCATCCTTCTCAACTCCAATGAGTATAGTCCCAGAGTCCTCAAACGTTCCTCATGTTAAACTTTCCATTCCTGGTACCGTTCTTGTGAACCTCCTCTGAACCCGCTCCAGGGCCAGTATATCCTTCCTGAGATATGGGGCCCAGAACTGCACACAATACTCCAAATGTGGCCTGATCTGAGCCCTATAAAGCCTCAGTAGTACATCCCTGCTTTTATATCCAAGTCCTCGCAAAATAAATGCCAACATTGCATTTGCCTTCCTGACTACTGACTCAACTTGCAAGTTTACCTTGAAAGAATCCTGGACTAGAACTCCCAAGCCTCTTTGCACTCAGATTGCTGAATTTTCTCCCCATTTAGGAAATAGTCCATGCTTTTATGCTTCTTACTAAAGTGCATGACCTCACACTTTCCCACGTTGTACTCCATTTGCCACTTCTTTTCCCACTGTCCTAACCTGTCCAAATCCTTCTGCAGCCTCCCCACCTCCTCAATACTACCTGTCCCTCCACCTATCTTTGTAACATCTGCAAACTTCGCCAGAATGCCCTCAGTTCCTTCATCTAGATCATTAATGTATAAAGTGAAAAGTTGTGGCCCCAACACTGACCCTTGTGGAACACCACTTGTCACTGGCTGGCATCCTGAGAAAGACCCTTTTTTAACCCCACTCTCTGCTTTCTGCCAGACAGCCAATCTTCTATCCATGCTAGCACCTTGCCTCTAACACCATGGACCCTTATCTTACTCAGCAGCGTCCTGTGCGGCACCTTGTCAAAGGCCTTCTTGAAGTCCAGGTAGATAACATCCATTGGCACTCCTTGATCTATCCTGCTCGTTACTTCCTCAAAGAATTCTAACAGATTTTTCAGGCATGACCTCCCCTTGATGAAACCATGCTGACTTTCCAAATATTCAGAAATCTCATCCTTTACAATGAGCTCCAAAATCTTACCCACGATCGAGGTTAGACTAATCGGCCTGTAATTTTCCGTCTTTTGCCTTACTGCCTTTTTAAACAGGGGTGTCATGTTAGCGATTTTCCAGTCCTCTGGGACCCTCCCTGACTCTAGTGATTCCTGAAAGATCACCACTAAGGCTTCCACTATCTCTTCAGCTATCTCCTGTAGAACTCTGGGGTATAGTCCATCTGGTCCAGGTGATTTATCCACCTTTAGGCCAATCAGTTTTACTAGCACCTTTTCCTTGGTGATGGCCACCATACTCAGCTCTGCCACCTGACTCTCTTGAATTTTTGGGAGATTACTCGTGTCTTCCACCGTGAAGACTGACGCGAAGTAATTATTCAGTTCCTCAGCCATTTCCTTGTACCCCACTACTATCTCTCCACTGTCATTTTCCAGTCCTTCATTTACAATCCTGTTAGTCCATGTCTGTGTCCCTCGACAAACATTGAGTTGCTAATATGAATAAAGAATACTGATGTGTTACTGACATGAGCAGCAATTTACTCAAGGAGGTTTCTTGCATTTGAAAGTGCACCCAACTATTTGGAATACAAAGACGCTAGAATTGAATCATATAGTGATCTAAAATCCTGCTATCCTCATGTTTTTGGACAAGATGTGTATGATTCTTTAGCCTGAACTGTAAATATTGATCCTGAACTGTGAATGTTTTTAGCGCAAATGGCGATTCAAACTATGAAAGAATATTGCCAGTACAGAGCTACATGTACTGGGAATTCACACTGGAAATTTCTAATGCATATGGAACACTTTTCCATCCATTAACAGTGAAGTTTTATAGATGAGTCAGTTTTTGAGTTACATTATCAATAATTTCTCAGCACAGAAGTTCTTTGAGGGCACTGCTTATTTCTAAATATTTTTGCCTGTTCATGCTTGAGACATGGGCTATGCCAGCATTTTATTACCTATATTGGACCTCATACAGCATCTTGCCAATCTGCCACTCAACAAGCTAGAACAAGGGCAACATATACACGAGAACACCACCAATAAGCTCCTCTCCAATCCACTCCTCCTCTTGACTTGGAAATATATCACCATTCCTTCACTGTTGCTGAATCAAAATCCTGGAACACCCTTTCTAACAGCACTGTAAGTGTACCTATACCAACTGGATTCTAACAGTCCAAGAAGGCCAGTTTTAAAGAAAAAAACGTATATTACCCTTGAAAAGGTGATGGTGAGCTGCTCTGTTGAACTGCTACAAGTCTGTTCTGAATTTACTGCTGATGGGGCCAAAGTAATTTTTTGAGGGCCTCTCCAGATTTTTTTGGGGGTCTTTTTTTCTTTTAATTTTAGAGAGCTACCTTTTTATTATCTCAAACCCCTCTATCAAGTAATGCTGTCATGTAGTAATGGTACCTTCTTTATTTGTGTTAATGTATGGTGTATTTGGACTGGCACAAAACAGAATTAGAAGAATGCATTGACAGCCAGAATAATTATCTCAGCTTTATTAGTTTAAAGCCACAGCACTCAAGTAAAGGTTTAGTTTCCTAGACAACACAGTATTCGAAGACCGACAGCATAAGTTAGCAACAATTTTTTTTTTAAATAATAACTGATACACAGTTTTATGCGCAAGAAAAAATCACCCAAAACGCTTTCTTTTTTCATACCAATCCACAAGGGGATAACAGTTTAACGGTCACATGTTTGTCTCTAACACAATCACTGCACCTCGTAATTCCTAGTATGCAAGATGCTCTAATATGTAATTTTTCTCACAAAATGCCAATGTTTATGGTGTAAGAGTATTCGATATTTAATTATCCAATTGACACAGCATTCATTACAATATCATCCACGAGATTTTATTCCACATTGTAGTGGTTCCTGAGTTTTAACAGCTATAGGCTGGTGCCTTTACATTCATTTGCCAGTAATTCAGTACCTTGGTGAGTCCAAGTTTTCCTAGTTCCCAGCTATTGAGTATTACCTTGATGAAAATGTTGATACTGCTCTGGCCCTTTTGCAGTTGCTCACCAGCTTTATAACTTTGCTCCGTCCCTTGCCTGCTCCCAACCTATCAGCCTCATTATCCCACCTACTAGGCAAAGCAGTAGTATTGCTTCTTGACTTCCTTTCTTACTGTGAACTCAGGCCTCTCTCCCTCTGGCTACACTGTCTCAGCAGCCTTCCTCATGGCTGCTATTCACCTCCTTTGTCCTGCTCCATCAAGAGGCAGCTGCTTTCCCCTGTTTGCTTCCGATGGAATCACTATTGGCCTTTCAGCAACAAGAGTGAGAGAGAATCAGCCTTTGATTGGACGAACAGCTCCTCTCCAATTTTTTTTTCCATACTACTTATCTGTTACTGTTATAGGCTTGTGTAAATATTTGGTATATTTGTCAGATTTTCATACTAATGCTTATGTTTTTGGTGACATGGTTTATTTTTTTTTTGAAAGGTAACTTTCAAACATGATTCCTCAACTGTGGAAGTGCAAGATGACCACATCAAAGGTCCACTCAAGGTATGCACTCATTCTCTTACAATTTTCCTTAACATAAAATGATTGAATTTTGAGAAGTATCATAACTACAAATTAAACGAATTGTTTCAAATAATTGCACATTGATGGCTTATTAATGAAGGTGACATTGTTCGTGATTAATCTAACTTTGAGGTGTTGGGGAGCTGAAAATTCATGTCAGTCAGCAGTGGTGAGTAGATATGACTTCTTGGAGGATAGGACACGGGCAGCAGAGTTTTGGATAAACTTTTCTCTTAGTGAGAACGGAAGAATGGGAGACAGCCACAAAATAACTTATACAATCAAGTCCAAATACTATGAAGCACATATGAAGGTTTTGTGGGCAGAGCTCACCAATGTTCCAGAGCTGTACAGGTGAGAAGCAATTGATGCAAAAGATCTGGCTGTGACTCACTGTGTATGTAGAGCTCCACACAAAGGACTGTGTACCAGCATCATGCCAAGAAGCTCAAATTGTTTCACTTGAGCACCTTTGGAAGTTCCTGACAAATGACAGGACAGAATACCAGATATCGTGTTGCTCACCTGGTTGGAGTGCCAAGCCTGACAATCTCTCACCAAAGCAAAACTTCTATGTCAAGCTTGTATCAGATATGCGGCCTCAATGATGTTCAAAATAAACATTACAAGAACAGTCCGAAGGCTTTAGTTGGGAGTTTTGATATTGACTGAGTCTTGGGCAACTTGCCCAGGATCAATGCAACTCTCTGGCTGAATCAAATTAAAAGTTGGTGCAGTTTCTTTCAAAGCAACTGTGTATTAAAAGCAAGGAGATGGTGCAAGCAGAGGGAATCCTGACCCACCAACTCATCCAAAAGTCAGTCTTCAGCAGTATCCTCATACAGATCCTTCCTTCGCTGCACAGATAGACCTTAATGTCAATTGTGTAACCATTAAACCCTACCAAATGTCACAGTTGATTAATAATAGCCATCTTCAACTTAAAGCATGAACAAGGCCAAGAAGAGAAGTGGACTGAGATTTATTCAGAAGCAACATGCCTAAGGATTTTGATGAGGATGTGAATGAGTGGTGGTTGCACGGATAGAAGGGTTGACAGCATGTTATTTCAGGAAGAAATTATGGTGTTTTTTAAAGGAAAATAGCAGGAGAAAAGGAGAGAAACCCTTTATCAGATGTCATGGAGGCCTGGAAGGGAAGTTAGTTGGATAGTATCTTAGTGGGAATGGAGTCCAGAAAGCAAGAGCTGTGTCTTGCGGAACATATGAAGAGAGATGAGAGAGCATCAAGAGGTTAAACACGTGTTCATGGTAAGCATACGGATGCGGTAGATTACAATATTGGCAGGAGGGTGAGGAGGTTGGGAGTTTAGCTATGGAAAAACAGAACTAGTTATTCATTAGTTTTTACATTCAAAGGCTGCAACATTCTATCCTGTGGCATGCTGCTAGAAGTATTGATAGAACTCGTATTACTTTCTTGAAGTACAATAGCACTAAAGTCTTTTATGATTTCATGAACACGTTAAAGTATAACGATGAGAGATATTATAGTCTCCATATTGGAATTTGTGATGTAGTTGTTTATGATATTGATGTATATCTATTTTTTTTCTGCAGAGACACTGATTTTTTTTTATATCAATAAATCTAAGTCACATAGGATATAAAACTTGCAAGGTGGTGAATTATTTCGAGCATTTACTTATAACTTTTCTTATCTTGGTCATTGCTGCACCCTGTCTTTTGATTTATTGTTCATGGGGAATGTGAATGTGGTGATATCATTTGAGTAATCCAGAGGCCCAGACTAATGCTGTAGACGTTCAAATCCCACCAGCTGGTAGAATTTAAATGCGGTTAATAAATATAAAGTATGGGATAATGCTAGAAGTCAGGTGACACCAGGTTATGGTCCAACAGGTTTATTTGAAATCACAAGCTTTCAGAGCTTTGCCCCTTCTTCAGGTGAAGTGAGAAGGAACAGAATTTATAGGCAGAGAGATCAAAAGACATGCAAATGGTGTAAATGGAGTGTCAGCAGGCTGAATAATAGGTCTCTGCAGGTGATCAAGAGTGTCAGACGGTAAAGTGTCAACAGCTTAATAACAAGCGAAGGGATGACCTATAATCCAAATAAATGAGGCAGAGAGATAATTACAAAAAATTAAAAGTAAAGTGGTGCTGGAGACAAACTGAATGACTGACTGGAATAAAATGATCGGTATAAGAGTCACATGCCAAAGGTCTAACCAAAGTCATAAGTAATCCAAAACTGTACAAACTAATTAGGGTAGAGAGATCTTAACAATTTATCGAAGTGATGGTGTCAAAACAGGACAGTAAAGAAGGTTTTACACATACAGAACAGTGTGGTGCGTTCTCATGTAGCGTGACATGAACCCAAGATCACGGTTGAGGCCGTCTTCATGGATACAGAACTTGGCTATCAGCTTCTGCTAGGTGATTCTGCATTGTGTATCTCGAGGCTGCCTTGGAGAATGCTTACCTGAAGATCAGAGGCTGACTGTCCTTGACTGCTGAACTGTTCCCCAACTGGGAGGGAACATTCCTGTCTGGTGATTGTTGCGCGGTGTCCGTTAATACGTTCTTGTGGCGTCTGCATGATTTCGCTGATGTACCATCCCTTGGGGCATCCTTGCCTGCAGAGTATGAGGTAAACATCATTGGCTAAGTCACATGAGAATCTGCCATGTACATGGTGGGTGGTATTCCCATGTGTAATGGTTGTATCCGTATCGATGATCTGACATGTCTTGCAGCGGTTGCCATGGCAGGGTTGTGTGGTGTTGTGGTTGATGTTGTCCTGAAGACTGGATAGTTTGCTGCGTACAATGGTCTGTTTAAGGTTTGGCGGTTGTTTGAAAGCGAGAAATCCAGGCATAGGGATGATCTTGGCGAGATGTTCACCATCATCGATGACATGTTGAAGGCTGCGAAGAACATGGCATAGTTTCTCTGTTCCGGGGAAGTGCTGGACAATCAAGGGTATCCTATCGGACATATCACGTGTGTCTGTCTTCTGAGGAGGTCATTGCGGGTTTTCACTGTGGCACATTGGAACTGGCGATCGATGAGTTGAGCATCGTATCCTGTGCTTATGACGACGTCCTTCAAAATCTTTAGATGTCCATCACGTTCCTCCTTGTCTGAGCAGATCTGGTGTATATGCGGGGCTGGCTTGTTTAATCTCCACGTCATGGGATAGTGCTGACCAAGAAAACTATCATCAATTGCTCTAAAAACCCCTTTGTTCATGGACTGCTTTAGACAAGAAGACCATAAGATATAGGAGCAGAATTAGGCCATTCTATCATGGCTGATGTGTTTCTCAACCCCACTCTCCTGCCTTCCCCCTGTAATCCATGATCCCCTTACAAGTCAAGAACCTATCTATCTCGGCCACAGAGGGCTGTGGAGGCCAAGTCATTGAATGTATTTAAGAGAATTAGTTCCACAGATTCACAACGCACTGAAGAAATCCCTCCTCTTCTCTGTTCTAAACTGTCATCTCTTCACTCTGAGGCTGTCCCCTCCGGTTCTAGTCGCTCCTACTGGTTGAAACATCTTCTCCACGTCCACTGTATCTAGACCTCTTAGTATTCTATAAGTTTCAATCAGATCCCCACCCCCATCCTTCTAAACTGTGTTGAGAACAGACCCAGAGTCCTCAACTGCACCTCATATGACAGGCCCTTCATCCCCAGGTTCATTCTATAAACCTCCTTTGGACCCCCTCCAATGTCAATACATGCTTCTTCGGATACCGGGCTCAAACTCTCAATATTCCAACTCCAATCTAACCAGAGCCTTGTACAGCCTCAGCAGTACATCTTTATTCATTCATTTCAAGAAGGCTAGAATATCAACATTGCATTTGCCTTCCTAATCTGCATGTTAACTTTGAGTCCTAGTTCAGGATTCTCTTAAGCCCTTTGGTGCTTCAGATTTCTGAATCCTTTTCCCATTTAGAAGATAGTCTGTGCCTCTATTCTTCCTTCCAAAGTGCATAACCTCAAACTTTCCTACATTATATTCTATCTGCTACTTCTTTGCTCACCCTCCTAGCCTGTCCAAGTCCTTCTACAGCCTCCCCCCTTTCCTCAATACCATCTGTCCTTCTGCCTACTTTTTTGTCATCTGGAAACTCAGCAACAATGCCCTCAGTTCCTTGGTCCAGATCATTAATGTATAATGTGAATAGTTGCCCCAACACTGATGTCTGCGGAACTCTACTGGTTAATGGCTGCTATCCTGAAAAAGACTCCTTTATCCCTATTCCCTGCCTTCTGCCAGTCAGCCAATCCTATATCCATGCCAGTACCTTGCCCCTAACACCATGGGATGTCATCTTATTTAGCAGCCTCCTATACAGCACCTTGTCAAAGGCCCTCTGGAAATCCAAATAGACCACATTGCTGGCTCTCCTTTGTCTAACTTACTCATTACCTCAAGAATTCTAACAGACTTGTCAGGTTTGGCAATGCCTCAATTGTGCAGATAAGGATGAGAGTTTTACATCATTTATGCCATTGTCTCTTCCCACCCCTCTCAAGTTGTTTTTAAATTAATTCATACAAAGCGGATATTGCTTATGGGACAGCATTTATTGCTCATTCCTAGTTGCCCCTCTCACCGTACAATCTAGCAAAAACTCTGGATGCCTTTAATTCTGTTTCTACGCAGTTCTTGTGTTGTCATTCCCAACTACCATTGGGTCAAAATCCCCGGAACTCCCTCCCTATTGGCCTTGCAAGAGCGTATACACTGCATAGACTGCAGCAATTCAAAAGGCAGCTCACTGCAACATTAAATTGCCCTACCTTTTTTTCCTTGCATGATTTATCCATTTAATTCTCTTCTGAATGATGCAATTGAATTTGCTTTCAACCTCCATTTTCATCCGGTGCATTCCAGATCATAAAAATTGCTGCATTTAAAAAAAAATCTTGTTGCTTCTGATTGTTTCATTGAGCACTTTATATTTACATACTAAGTTTTCAGCCCCAGAGAGAAGTTTCGCTTTGCCAAAATCATACATTTTAATTTTAACACCTGTATATTCCCTCAACCTTTTCTGCTTTAAAGATAAACAATTCCAGGCTCTGCAGTCTCTTTACATAATGCAGGATCCTCACTCTTGTTACCATTCTAGTCACACTCTAATACACCCTTTCTCAAGCTTTCCTAAATTGTTGTCCAGAATTTTAACCACTAATTGTTTTTAACTGTCTTCTCTGTTTGTCCTGCTACTTTCATAGATTTGTTTGCGTACATTCCTAGGTTTCTCAGCCTATACTCCCTTCAAACTTTTACCAGTCTCTTCTGTCTCATTCTTTCATTCTGTGTCACTTCGCACTTGGTTGCATTAAATTGCATCTGCCATGTCTGTCCATTTTACCAGTCTAGTCCAGGTCCATTTTGCCTGATTGTGCTGCTGTGAAATGTCTTGTGACCTTTAACCATGTTAAATGTGAGCAATAAATGCAAGTTGTAGAGTCATAGAATTTTACAACACGGAGTCCCTTCACCCATTATCTTCATGCCAGTCACCAAGCACTTAACTACTCTAATCTCATGTTCCAGCACTTGTGTGCAATGATGCCTCAAGTATTCATCTAAATACTGCTTAAATGTTGTGATGGCTCCTTCCTCTATCACCCTTTTCAGACAGCAAGTTCCAACCACCCTCTGACAAAGAATTCCTCTCATCCACTTGAACCTGCCTTTTAGCTTAGATGCGCCACTGCCCTCACTGATCTATTGTTATCTATCCTCCTGCTGCCTTCAAGAATCTGTGCATGCACACCAAGATGTCTCTCTGATCCTCTGTACTTCCTTTGCCTAGTTTGTCCTTCCAGAAACATCCATACTTAATAGAATTAAATTCCATTTGCCAGTGTGCACCCCATCTCACCAGCCTGTTTATATTGTCCTGTTAAGCTAAGGCATTCTTTCTCACCATTTCTTGTAATAAGTTGCTGTTTGCTTTTTCTGATGACAGAGAACTGCTGTCTGGCATGTGATTGTAACTGGTTCACTGATGTTCATCTTGAATGCTGAAATTATTCAAATTTGATTAAAATCGGAATGACACTCAATGGAAAGTAGTTGTTAATATGACGTGTACATTAGCACAATAAAGGAAAATATATACTGGTGTATACATTACAAATCAAATCAAACAAGATAATCTATGACATGTCTGATTGCTTGAACTTGGCATATACCAGATAGGACTGAGGTTTTGGAATTTATGGTTTCAATTCTGGCACTATGAAAACTGCAATTCACACAGTAACTATAATTTCAGAAGCTTTTGACTCCTCAGTACTTACACTGACTGAGGAACCCACCTCAAGTTGTACTGAAGCTTTCCTATCACCCTAATTTGCTGCAGCAATGTGCTTAATATTGACGAGGATGTACATCACAGTGGTGTGCTCATTTGAATTTCTGAAACTTGCATGTTTTTCACTGTTAGTGACAATTTGTGCAGTTCTGTTTTCTTGTTTCCATTTTCCTTCCACCCCTTACTGATCCATTGCTATGAATTAACCCGACTATTCTCATTGAGTCTATTTCATGGAGGCAAGGCTGACATACTGAGTGCTCATCAATTAATCAACTACAAAGTTTAACCCACTGGACTTGATCTTGCCCTCTCCCAACACTCTGGGTATTCCAGCTATCCATTCCATTTGTACCATAGCTGATATTATTACTGAACATATAACTGAATCCCCTGCATCAATATCATGGAGGTTAGTAGTGACCAAAATTTAGTTCAGGCATCTTTATAATTACTATGGCTACAAAGTCAAGATGGAAATCCTGTGAGTGATTCAGCTCCTGACTCAGCCTGCCCCACCGTCTGCAAGTCACAAGTTGAAAATGTGAAGAAGTAACCTTGACTCGTCTGAATGAATGAAACTCCAACAACATTCAAATTCGACACTATCTAAGACAAAGGAGCCCATTTGATTGGTACCCCATGCACTCCCTCCACCGTTCACCATTGTCACATAGTGGCAGCAGTGTATCATCTGCAAAATACACTGCAGCAACATGACGGCTGCCTTCAACAGCATCTTCAAAACTCAGCAACTCTACCACCTAGAAAAACAAAGGCAACATCAACACCTGCAAGTTTACCACCAAGCCACACCCCACCCTGAAGTGGGACTATATCAGCATGCATCCATCATCATGGGTCATTGTCCTGGAACTCCCTTCCAAACAGCACTGAGTTTATTTATGCAAAAGCAGTTAAAATAGGCAGCTTGGCACCATCTTCTGTCATTAGTTGGGCAATTGGCTCTTTGATAAGCTACAAAGCTTTCATTTGAATTAAAACAAATGTTCAGACTAACACAAATAAGGTTTTCTACATTCTTACATTTTTGTTTAATTTCCATGAACACATTCCTTCTATTTTTTAACCTTTTTATTGGATGTGTAAAAATATTTCTTGTACATTTTTTGTTTCTTTTTTGGAAGCAAACTGGAAACCTGGTTGCCCAGTTGTGCAATATTAGTTGCTGAATCCCTCATCCCTGTTTTTGTCATCTGTAAACTCAACTATTCCAAATGTTCTCTTGGCAGTCCTCCTGTCTTCTACTTTCTTTGTGAACCTGAACTCTGCTTGCATTCCAGCTTTCACTTAGTCCCGTTCACCCATCATGTCTATGTTCACTATTCAAAATTATGTCCTTGCATGTCCTCCATGGCCACTCTTGTTTCCAACTTGGTAATTTCCTCCAGCCCCCAATACCTGTGAGTTTTGTACACTTGACTCAGTATAGTTCTAACACCTTGCACATCCCCCATTTTCTTTGCTCCTCAGTTGGTTCATTCAGCTGTCTCGTTCCCAAGTAATGAAATTCTCCCCAAACTCCGGCAGTGATTGAAACCAGGTGGATCTTATTAGATGAGATCCTTGATTGTCTCAGATTAATAGCCCCAATCAGAGAGCCCTGGCTGACAGATATAAACAGGGGATTCAGACTCCCTTTAGGGACAGACTCCAAGCTGGCTGGACACAACCAATGTACTGTGCACATGTAAATGGAGACTTGGTAATGGGATACCAGCCTCTCTGCAGTTATTTTCAACACCTCTTCCTCTATCTCCTTCTCTGTTGAGATGCTCTTTTACAACCTACATTTTAACAATGTTTTTAATTCCAACTATTTCCTTGTCTCATAAGGCATTAAATTTATTTGACATTGTTTTTATGAAATGGCTGAGCAAGTTTGCAGCATACTGCATTGACAAGCAGCGAATGACCAGCTCATCAAGAAACATTGCCTTAAAGTCATATGATATCTGGACCATAATGAGATAACTGTCCTTTTTGTAGAATCACAGAATCCCTACAGTGTGGAAACAGGCCATTTGGTCCAACAAGTCCACACCGATTCTCTGAAGGGCATCCCACCCAGACTCACCGCCACCCATCCACCACCACCCCCGCCCCCCCATCCCTGCAGTTCACATGGCCAATCCACCTAACCTACACATCTTTGAACTGTGGGAGGAAACAGGAGCACCTGGAGGAAACCCATGCAGACACAAGGAGAATGTGCAAACTCCACACAGTCACCCAAGGGTGAAATTAACCCAGGTCCCTGGTGCTGTGAGGCAGCAGTGCTAACCACTGAGCCCACCAGCCATATCATTTCCTAGGGGAATAAAATAACAGAAAAACAAATGGAATATAAAGGAAACAATGTTCTGGAAAATTACACGTCTTTACAGCAGTTAACACCATTTTGTGATCTGTATAGGCACCACTTGCGTTTCATATTGATAAGCCCATTCAGGAATTGGTCCACCTTAAAGAATCACAGAGAGTCAGTACTCCTCTTACTACCTGGAAATGTGTTCCAGATATTTGCCAAACTTTAGTAGACTGCTTCCCAAATTTTTCTCAGTCCGACCCCATTTCGAGGCTTGGAAATTGACACAATGACTTGGTGAGACCTGTTTGGGCGTGATGTAATGGGCTATGTGTTTCGAGCAGAGTGCAGCAGTTCCAAATCAGTCAGAGTTCCCTAACAACCATGCTGACTCAGCTTGGAATCTCTAAGTTTCAGCTTGTGGCCCCCACTTGGGGACCTGACTCAAATTTTGGAAACCCCTGCTCCAGGAAAAGAGAGTGCTGAGTTAGAGGAATTAGGCAAAAACAAATTGTTGTGGCTGATCTCAGCTTGTATCCCATTGCGAGTGGTACAGAATATGTGATAGAAAGTGGTTACAAGGCTTCCAATTTACAGAGTCGTTCACTTTTCTTGTCCATGTTGACCAAGCATAATACTATATCTTCTTCATTCCCCACCAACCAAACAAATCAAGTGAAATTAATTGAATCAATTAGACCAAAAACCTCTGAGTAAATTCACCTCGGTACAATCTGTTGCTTTTTTTTAAATGTTACGGATTAAGAAACTCATACGTACATTGATAGTGACCCTACCTGTGAGCTAGAGGATCCAGATTCACCTGCATCCAAGATATCTCGTAACATTGTCTGAACAAGTTGATTGAAAATATCTTCATTGTACTGACAGGGTGTGATTTCTCCTGCAGGTAGGAGCTGTTGTTGAAGTGAAGAACCCTGATGGAACATGCCAAGTAGGTGTAATCAATAAGCTGACTGATGCAAGTTGGTACACTGTAGGTAAGACAAAAAAACTCTTAAAATTTTAAATTTGATCAATATCAGACTGTAGAAAGAGGTATTTTGCATTATTGCAGGTCTAACAACAATGGTAGAAAAACCATTTGAAACTACTTCCCTCTTAGCAAAATGTGGATCAAACATGAAGAGCACAGATTTATTAAAGGCAAATTATATTAAATTAGCTTGATTTGAGTGAAAGAGGAGATATGTGCAATATCTACAGCATTATATCTGTGGATTTCATAAGCCATTTGAAAAGGCCCTGGAAAACACATTTGTTTCAGGAATAGAAGCATGTGGGATTAAATGGATGGTGGTAATGTGGCCAAAGAATAGGAGGCAGAGACAACTACTGATAAGTATTTTTCTGACTGAAGAGGTAATTTCCCAAAAGATCAGTTTTGAGATCGCTGCTTGAGGGCACCAGATCTATAATTTCAAAGTTCGGTGGGTGATGCAAAACACAGCAATATATTAAATAGTGAACTGGAAAGTAGATTCTAGGAAGCCAAGGACTAGTGAAGTGGGCAGACATGGTGGATGCAACTTAATGCTGGCAAGTGTAAATTGAAGCATTCTGAGAAAAGCACATTAACTGAGATAGGACCATTTTGAGGAGATTCAGAAAAACTGAGTATGAGGAGGAGTATGGCAGAGAGCTGGGATGGTGCATGTTACAACTTTAAAACTGACAGAGCAAATTAGCATGGTAGTTAAGGAAGTGGAAGGAAAACCTGGCTTTGTGAATAGGATTATTGATAACAAAAATCTAGTTTACCTTTACATATCTTTAACTGAGAGTATGTTGCACAGTTCAGGGCACTAAACTAAAGACGTTAGTGCCTTGGAGAGGATACAGGATGATTTCTGGTATGTTACTGTGGAAAAGGGGCTTCAGTTATGTGCAGGCATTGGAGAAGCTGTGATTGCTTTCCGCCACGAAGAGAATTTTAGGGAGAAGACCTAATGGAGAATCTCCAAAATGTCTGAGTGATTTTGCCAGAGTAAGTAGGTAGCAATTATTCCTCTAGCAAGTGGTCTGTAATCAGGGACCGTTAACATAAAATGATTTACAGAAAGAACTAGGAAGGAAAAAAACTAACAAGTCATGGTAATGGGTTAATACATCAACATGGATATAGGATTGGCTGGCTAACGGGAAGCTGAGTTTGAATTAATGGATCATTTTCAGGCCGAAAAACTGCAAGTTGATGGTGTCATAGAGTGCTTTCCAGCCTGCCAATCTCAGCATCCTTTCCACCTGGCCTGTCCCTGCCATCAACGTGGCACTGCTGGGAAGGAGGTAGGATTGTGACATCAGGACATGACCCAACTCATGATTTGCACCCCAAAGATAAAAATCCAGCCCTTTAGTCAACTGATATTTTGAAATATCATGTTAGCCTAACCCGTCTTTGTGGAAGAAACCTGCCTGCACTTCACTGCTTCAACTGTGAAAACGGCACATTTTACAGAAATGTCGTCAGAACTTGACATCTGAATGATGCGCTTCTCAAATACAGATCCTGCGTTGATAAGATTGCATTATTTCATAGAGTAACTCCACTCCAGAGAAAAAGATCTGACACTTGTAGTTGTCAAAAATCATAATTCGTTTGACTATTGTTTCTTATAGTTGTCAAACAGCAGTGTGGTCTGATGCCAGTAAGCTCAGCTACTTGTTCCACTTTCCAACTTGTTTTAATGCCATTAAGCTTGATTTAATACAAATCAAATATCAAAGTTAACAGCTTTGTAAATTGACCGTTATTGTCTGGGCAAGCTGAGTTTAAATTTACAGGCAGTATCATTATAATAGTAAGTTGTAATGAACTCTTGTACATTCAGATATTTCAATAGCTCAGTCAGTAAGGTTTGGTTTGAGGATGCACTACAGTATGTTTTTCTTTGCTGACATTTTGTGTGTGTTGGGAAGGTTTTATCTGAAATGCAATGAATTTTCTGGGGCAAATCCATCAATTCACACTACATCATTAATTCTGCTTAATAGTGGATTTATGTTATTCTCTCTTGCTTAAGACCAGTTTTTGTTTTGTTTTGGAAATCCCCAGAAAGTTTGCAGTCATAGCATTAATGGAGCTTTGAGTTTCATTTTGCACTTTTCAGAGACTGAGGGCAAACTAAAATGTTTTACAGCCAATGAAGTACTTCTGAAGTGTAAGCACTCATTATCTGCTCAAACAATTCTAACAGATTTGTCACGGTATGACCTCGCCTTAATGAAGACGTGCTGACTCAGCCCTATTTTACCATGCACTTCCAAGTACTCCACAATTCCTTCATTAAAGTGGACTGTAACATCTTTCCAAGGACTGAGGTCAGGCTAACTGGCCTATTGATTATTGTCTTATGCCTCTCTCTGTTAAACAGGAGTGTTACATTAACCATTTTCCAATCCTCTGGGACCCTCCCTGACTCCAGTGATTCCTGAAAGATCATCACCAATGTCTCTACAATCTCCTCAGCTATCTCCTTCAGAACTCTGGGCTGTGGTCCATCAGGTGATTTATCCACCTTCAAACCTTTCAGCTTCCCCAGCACTTTCTCGTTAGTGATGGCCACTACACTCAGCTCTTCCCCTGAGTCTCTTGAAGTTCTGGTATGCTACTGGTGTCTTCCACCATGAAGACTGATGCAAAGTACGTATTCAGTTCCTCTGCCATTTCTTTGCTCCTCATTACAACTTCTACAATCTCATTTTCCAGAGGTCCAATGTCAACTCTGCCTCTCCCTTCCTTTTATATCTTAAAAGAACTATGGCAATACTTTATATTACTAGCAGATTACTCTCATTTTACTGTTGCTATTTTAGTTATTGTTTGCTGGTTTTTAAAGTTTTCCAATCCTCTAGCTTCCCACTAATCTTCATCACCTTGTATGCTTTTTCTTTTGCTTTTAGAATGTTTCTGATTTCCCTTGCTGGCTTCCCCTAAGCATGTTTCTTTTTCCTGCTTGGAATAAATTTATGCTGTGCCACCTGAATTACCCCCAGAAACCTCTGCCTCATTGCACGTCGCCAAATCTGAGATGGCTTGTTCCCTGGTGGGCTCTACCACAAATTGGTCCAAAAAAGAAATCATCTCTTAGACATTATACAAATTCCTTTTCTTGAGATCTGCTGCCAATCTGATTTTCCCAGTCCATCTGCATATTGAAGCTCCGATGATGATTGTAACAGTGCCTTTCTTACATTTTTTTTTCCTCTTGATTTATTCCTCATATCCTGACTACTAGAGTCCTGTGCATAACTCCCATCAGGATCCTGCACTTCCTCAACACTGCCCACAGAGATTTTACACCTTCTGACTATATCACTTCTGGCTATTAACTTGATTTCATTTTTTGCTCACAAGGCAACTTTCCCTCCTGTGCCCATCTGCCTATCCTTTGGATACGACGTGTGTCCTTGGATATTTAGTTCCCAGCCCTGTACATGGCCCTTGTAGCCATGTCTCTGTGATAGCCAACAACATACCTGTCAATTTCAATCTGCATTACAACCTCTTTTACCTTGTTTCATATATTGCGTGTTTTAAGTACAACACCCTCAGTCCTGCATTGACTGTCCCCCTTCATAGTTATCCCATTATCTGCTCTGCCTGAAGTTAGCCAATTTGATCTAACAAGTCCCCACAAACAACAATGTGATTGTGACAAGATTGTTTTTATTTCAGTAATATTGGTTGAGGGATAACTGTTGGCTAGGTTTGAGTTATTAGGAGAAATTGGGTCGACTGGGCCTGTATTCAATGGAGTTTTGAAGTGTGAGACTGGATCTCATTGAAACACATAACATTCTGAAAGGTCTGGACAGACTGGATGATTTTTTTTCCCTAGGCAGGGGACCCAAAACAAAGGGTCATGATCTCTGGATATGCAGTAGGCCACTTCGGACTGAATTCAAGGGAGACTTCTTCATTAAGGGTGATGAACCTGTGGAATTCTCTGCCATAGAAGGCTGTGGAGGCAAGTCACTGAATATATTTAAGAAAGAAACAGATTTCTAGAAGTTAGAGATGTCAAGGCATAGCAGGAAAGAGTGAGAGTATGGTGTTGAGCTAGCAGATCAGCTAAGATCAGTTTAGATCGTGGAGTGAACACAATGTGCTGGATGGCCTGTTCCTCCTATTTTCTGTTCTTGCAGGACATCAGTTTGAAAAGTGTTGTGGGATCTTTATGCGCATCAGAGGGAAGACAATACATTGTCTTTTTTTTATTAAAAATGATTGTTTCATTCTCATAACAAAAACAGAAGTTGCTGGAAAAGCTCAGCAGGTCTGGCAGCCTCTGTGAAGAGAAAATCAGAGTTAACATTTTGGATCCGGTGAACCTTCCTCAGACCTGAGTTCAAGGGAGTTCAACTGAGTTCTGAGAAAGGGTCACCAGACCCGAAATGTTAACTCTAAGTTTCTCTTCACAGAGGCTGCCAGATCTGCTGAGCTTTTCCATCATCTTCTTTTTTTTTTGTTCCTGATTTACAGCATCTGCAGTTCTTTTTTGGTTTTTTTGATTGTTTCATTCTGTTCAATCCAACAGTTAGAGGGCATTTTTGGATTACTGTGACTCTTTGCAGTTGAGCAGCGTGTGTGTTAGATGTAAGAAACTGGCTTCAAGCTTGTTGTTCCAGCATTTTAAACCAAAGTCATTGCAATTCTTTCATGTGGCCAAAAAAATGTTGATCAAGTGTTTTTAAAAAAATCAGTTTGTCTAAGTTGTAATTTTGTGAGCCAACTAAGTTATCATTATAGTTAGGAAAACCAATGGTAAAGAATTGCATTGTGACCAAATATAATGGTGTTGCTACTTGTAGATTTAATATATTCTGATCTGTACACCAAAAGTCATATTGAAGGTGAAGTGTTCCAATATTATGCATGGTTTGAATGATTACAGCGTGAAAGGAGGCCGTTGGCCCACCAAATAAATGCCAGTTCTCTGAAAAGGCAAGTTAGCTCATTCAACTTTTCCCTGTAGCCATGCAAGTGATTTGCCTTTGTGCTTATCCAATTCCCTTCCAAAAGCCATGATCTAATGTAAACCATTGAGTTCTAATTGTTTATATTACTCTCTCTCACTCTTAGTAGCCATGAATACTCAAAGATTAAAAGAACAACATTTACAATTGTATCAGACAAACTGTAGTGGGGGGAGTTTCCGTCCTTGCTGCACACTATATTACATTACGTTACTGTTATTAAAAACACAGTTTTAGATATTGTACTCTTAGATAATATTGAAATATTTCAGAATTTCACTGTAAAGCAAGTTTTTTTTCTGCTCATGGCTCATTGTAGCTTGGCACTCCAACACTGGAGCTGGCTCAGTCCTGTCATGTGGACTGCTGCATGCCCCGTTGCTGTCACTAACAATGTGGGCAAAAAATGCAATGTATTTTTAAGCTGTCCTTGACAAATAAAGATCAGCTTTCAGTCAGTTCTTAGTATCTTCCAAGAATGCATACTGGCTTATGTATGGGGCAGCTGATCATTCTGTTTGCTTTTAATGGACTGAAGGGTAAATGTTGCATGCTACATATCATGCCACATGTATCTTGGAAACCCATGCAGCTAGCCAGTGAGCATTAGTGAGAACATTAGTGTATTTTTGATCAGTTGGATTCAGTCCCATTATATGAATAACAAGATTATAACCAAGGTAAGTTACTTTCATTTATCACATTAATACTGATTCCAGAAAATCTTATAGTTACTTTTAACCAATGTGATCTATTGCTCATCATTTTGAATCAGTGAGAGCTGGGAAACCATAGTTGTCTATTCTGACCCTACAGCCGGATTCAGTTTCTCCATTAACTGATGATACAACGAAGGAGGAGTTTAGCTTTTATTAACTACCAATCAACGGACAGGGTTGAAAGGATATGGAAATGATTAACAAAAACAGGACATTAACATTTTAGAGAGGTCATAAGATGCAAACTAAGTATTGGGATTCACTTATAGAGGAATGGAAATGGGAAGTAGTCAAGTGATGTTAGACTTTATATTGAATCTTGGTTGGATTACTCTTGGAGTACAGTGAACAATTCTGTTTCCAAATTATAAAAACAATGTGGAGGAGCTAGAAAAGATGTACAAAAATTTGCAGGGCTGATAAAAGCTGCAAGAGGCTATAGCTGTCTGGAAAGATTGAACTATCTTGGATTGGAGCAAACTAAGAGATGACCACATAGAGACATTTAAAATGATCAGGGACTTCATAAACGTCTGAAGATATTTTCATTTGTGAGGGTCATATATAGTAACTGAATTGATGTTAATAAATCTACTGGGAATGCAGAGAAATTGAGTGGCATAAAATTTTTGAAATTAAGTAATTGAACTAAATAGCATAGATGTTTTGATGGGTAAATGGATGAACACACATTAGCAAAATACAAATACAAGGATATGTTGATTGAGTTAGGTGAGATTAGTTGAGTGAGATTAGGCTCACATGGAGTTTAAGCACCGGTATGGATCATTTATTCAAATGGCCTGTTTCTGTGCTGTAATTTGTGTGGGATGATTGATATGCAAATCCAACAGCTCAGAAGTGTTGAATAAATTAGTTTCAAAGTGCAGTGTTGGTTTCTGTAGGCAAGCTCAGAAACTAAACCCATTTTATCAATAGGAAGATCCTACAAATATCAATGTGGTGAGCGAGAGGTTGATCTTATTTCCATTGTACTAGTTGAGGGAAAAGCCTTGACCTACACATTGCTCTTGAAATAATGCCATAGAGGTTAAAGTGCCCACCTAAAGTGGTAGACATGTACTCATGTTATGTCTGAAAGATGGTGCTTCCGATAAGCATTCTCTGTGGAGAAACAACCTAGGCTGTTATTTAACAAAGGAGAGGGATTGAAATCTGGAAACTGTAGATCTATTATGGAAAGATATAATTGAGGGTGAAGTAATTGAGCAATTGGAGAAATTTGAGAATGAACGTAGTTTTAGAAAGATTGGGATCATGTCTAATGAACCAAATTGTAATTCTTCAGGAAGTAACTGAAATAATAGACAGCTATCTGTATGGATGTAGTTTATTTGGCTACTGGAAGGCTTTTAATTAGGTTCCACATGTGTTAGCTGAAATTGAAGCTAATAGAATTGAGGACAAGTTATTGACCTCCTGAGGGGAGAGATTGATTTGGCAGGAATAATTGTTCTGTACTTGCATTAGAAGGAAATAATTAGTGGTGTTCCACAAAAATCTTCAGGTCATGGATGGACTTCCAGAGAAGTGAGAGGTTAATGCATTTGGGAAAGTTTACCAGGCAACAGTAGCATATTGAGAATCGTAGAAGAGCCATGGTACCTTGGTTTAAATATCTATACATTCCTTAAGATAACCTGATAAGTTGACAAGGTAGTTAAGAAAGCTTTATTAGCTGAGACTTGGGAAATGAATGCTGGGAGATTTTGCTAAAACTGTATTAACCATTAGTTAAGCCAGGGCTGGAGTACTGTGTGTATTTCATCCCACTATACTTTATGAATGATTAGGAAGATTATGGAGGCTATTCAAGGATGTTACTTAGGCTGAAGAATTTTGCTTATGAAGAAAGATTGAACAGTCAGGCATGTTTTCTTTGGAACAGAGGAGGCAGATTGGACTAATTAAACTGTTTAAAATTGTGAAGTTTAAACAGAATGCCCTATTCCTCTCACTTGAAACCCATATAACTAACAGCATAGAACGAGGGTAAAAGCAGGTTAAAGGATAAATGTTTCCATCCAGAGGGTGATAGGAATCTAGAACGCACAACATGAAGTGTGACAGAGGCTGCAAACCTTTAATACTTGGACATAAAAATGGGTGCTTTCCAGGACAGGATGGCTATTTTTGGCCAGCATGAATGCAAATGCCCTTCTTCCCTGTCTTAAATTCCTATGATTCAACTATTCATTATATGTTAATTAATAACTTGAATAAGTGACATCTAAATTTGCTGATGATTCAAAGACTGGTGACATGAAAGATCATGTAGTTGTAAGCTTAAAATTACCAGAAGACATCACTAGATTAAGTGAGTGGACAAAGTTGTGACACATGTATTTCAGTTCAGTTAAATGTGAAGTCACCATTTTGAAACAAAGATGGATCCAAGTATTTTTAAATATTGAAACATTTGGCATAGTGAGGGCTCAGAATGACTTATGGATCCATGTGAAGAGATCAGTACAACATAGTGCATTGGTACAAGCAAATCAAAAAGGCTAATCAAATGTAAAGCTTTGTATCTTGTGGGTGAGGACTTCAAGGGAGAAAGGCTTTGCTACTGCTATACAAAGCCCTAGTTAGATTACATCTAGAAGACAGCATACATTTAAGGGGACAACAAGGTGCAGGGCTGGATGAACACAGCAGGCCAAGCAGCATCATAGGAGCAGAGAGGCTGACGTTTCGGGCCTAGACCTTTCATCAGAAAAGGGGGAGGGGAAGGGGGTTTTGAAATAAATAGGGAGGGATAGAGGAGAGGATAGGTGGAGAGGAAACAAACAGGTCGGAGAGGCGGGGATGGAGTCAGGAAAGGTGAGTGTAGGTAGGGAGTTAGGAAGGGGATAGGTCAGTCCAGGGAGGACGGACAGGTCGAGGGGGCGAGATGAGGTTGGTCGGTAGGAGATGGAGGTGCGGCTTGAGGTGGGAGG